ACTATTTACAATAGCCAAGAAACGGAAGCAACCTAAGTGTCCATCAGTAGATGAATCGGTAAAGAAGAGGTGGTACATATACACAATGGAATATTACTCAGCCATAAGAAGAAAACAAATCCTACCATTTGCCACAACATGGATGGAGCTAGAGGGTATTATGCTCAGTGAAATAAGCCAGGCGGAGAAAGACAAATACCAAATGATTTCACTCATCTGTGGAGTATAAGAACAAAGAAAAACTGAAGGAACAAAACAGTAGCAGAGTCACAGAACCCAAGGAAGGACTAACAGTTACCAAAGGGAAAGGAAAGGGAATGGAGAAGATGGGTGGGAAGGGAGGGAGAAGCGGGGGGAAGAAGAAAGGGGGCCTTATGATTAGCATGTATAATGTGGGGGGGTGCACGGGGAGGGCTGTGCAACACAGAGAAGACAAGCAGTCATTTTACAGCATCTCACTACACTGATGGACAGTGACTAATGGGGTGTGGGGGGGACTTGGTAAAGGGGGGAGCCTAGTAAACAAAATGTTCCTCATGTAATTGTAGATTAATGATACCAAAAAAAAAAAGAGAGAAAAAAAAATGGGCTGGGGACACTCTAGGGAAGACACCCAGCTGGCAGCAGTTGAGGGATGGGGAGATGGGTCCTCTCCGGCCAACATGCTTGTGAGAAGCACACCTTGCTCGAGGCATCGATGAATTTGACACCTTTGTACGTGATGGACAGGATGATGGTGGGGACCTTCTTCATGTGCTCAGTGGATTTCTATAGGAAACAAGGAGTGGCCTTTGGGTGCCCCTTCTCCAGGCAAAGCCCCTTGGGTCCCCCAGCCCCCAGCCTCCCCATTGTTCCGCACATGGCAGCACCCAGGCGGCTGCCGCTGGTGCCCCATTTGATGCCTTCCATCCTAGCCAGCCCCACAATGCACAACCTACCCGCATCTTGGCACAGGCATCCTGTGTGGATTCTGTCCCTCGAAGATCTTTGATCAACATGGAGCCCAGGTACTGTGGGAACGAGCAGTGGCCGGGCTTAGGAAGTCCTGCGTCACCACCAAGGGGCGACCCAGCCAATTTGGGACCACAGTCAGGTGCTTCCCTCTCCCAATAGCCCCCTCCCCATCCTGGCCAGGGTCCCTTTTCCTCTCTGGCTAAACCCACCCAGAGCCCTGCCCACCCTCCACCCTGCCTGCCCCCAGATGCTCGGACCATCCGAGGAGGAGAAAAGAGCATTAGCTCCAGGCCTGGCCAGGAGGGGCAGGGAGCAGGGAGGCTGGCCAGGTTGGGAGCGCAGGTGCAACTCACATTGGCTTCGTAACCACAGGACTCGAAGATGAGCTTCTCTGGCTGGTGTTGCCAACTCTGCACAGGGGCATAGGGGGCGGCCAGGCTTGGGGGCCGAAGGGTCAGCTTGGCCTCGCGGTGCTCTTCCTGCAGAACATGTGGGATCACTGCTCTGCTTGCCCACTCCAGTGTTCTCACAGGCTCCCTGCCAGGCCCAGCACACCCAAGGGGGAAGAAGCCAGCTACCTCCAAGGAGTTCAAAGGTCAGGTGGAGAGGCAGGAGGCAGCCAGCAATTCAAATGCACTGGGGCAGAGGCGAGGCCTATCTATGCCAGAGAAAAGGTTGGAGAAGCAGGGACATGAGCCACCTGAGATGTACTCATTGGGAAGGCTCCACGGTGTCTGAGATGTCTTAATGAGAATGGGAAATGACTAAAATCTGTGAGGAGAAAACAGCCTGTGTGGGAAGGCACAAAGGACAGGGAGCAGGAGCCATTAATAGCCCTGGAAGCCCTGTCTCCAGGTGAAGGCCCCTGGGCCAAATGCTGGGGTGGGAAGTTTCCATGGCTAGGGATGCATCCTGTAGTGATCCTCGAGGCAGACGCTGGGGCGGGGGATGAGATGGTAGGGGGCTGCTTCAAGCCATGTTTGAGCAGATGGGATCCTTGACTAGGGCACTAGTAGGAATGGGGAGAGGGGGAAAAATTCAGGTCATATCTATGACTTCCATTCCTAGCAAGGTGCAAAAGTCTCTCGTATGGAGCCATTACAACCGCTAGACAACACGCTTGGTAAATCTTGCCAAATTCACAACTGTGCTTCTGGAAAGGTGAGGAAAACCCCCAGAGGCCAGAAATGAGAAGTGTGAGTCGAGAAAAAAAAGGGTGAACCTAACGTTCACCCTGGGGGGCTGGGGACACCTGTCAATCTTACGTCTAATGGGCCAAGCTGGGGAACAAGAGACAAAGCCTGGAATCTGTGCAAGACAGGAGGTAGGACAGGCAAGTCTTGAATAAACCTGGGAGCCCTGAAAGCAATACCCTGAATGGGTGAGCTAGGAATGGGTATTGGGCCTACCCAGGCCAAGGGCCCAGCAGAGGCTGGTGTGCATGAGGGTTGATGGCACTGAATGTGGGTGGCAGCTGCACCCACCACTGGGCATCAAAATGGGGCTGGAAAAACTGTCTGATCTGGGCTGCAGTTTGCTGGGCAGGTGGGGCAGCAGGGTGTGGAGATGCAGGAGAGAGAAAGCAGCTCTGCAACAGATGGGTAAGGGAGGAAGGGGCTGAGATGGGGAGAAACTGAGAGGCTGCATGGTAATTGACTGTCCTCAAAGAGGAGCCTCCTTTCTTCTGAGCATGGCAGTCCAGGCCACATGAGACACAGGAGGCCCGAGCAGTGACAGCAGAAGTGAGGCATGTGGTCACGGCACCAGGGGCGCGGGACTGGGTGCCTGGCACCGGTGAGGAGGCGAGGAGGCTGCTGTCTTCCTCCCATGCCTGAGGCTGGCAAGGACTCGGGGCAGGGCAAGGGTCTGGGAGGCCCTGCCCTGCCCAGAGGAATGAGGGGAACCCCTGTCTGCAGACCCCCTCCTGCCCCACCTGGATTCTGAAGCGTTCCGCCCGAGAAAGTGCTGCAGGGTCATGAAGACTGTCCTGCCGCCTCCTGCCCGTGTCCCCAGGAGGTAGCAACAGGTCAGCGGACCGTCCAGCGCAGGAATCGTTCTGGCTCAGGGGGGACGATGTCTGGGAGAGTAAGTCTTGGCACTGTAGTGGGGAGAAACCCAGGTGAAACTTGGAACTCATCAGGCCAGGCCCTGGGTTGTGGTCATCAGCCAGTCCTGGGCTGGTACAGGCAGACATCAGTGAGAACCAGCACAGTGCCAAGGAGGCGCCAAGAGAATGGCATGCTGGGCCAGGAGCCTGGGGGGAGACGGCTACTGGGCCAGCCTGGGAACAATCAAAGCAACCAGATTTGTCCTGGAGCCAGGAAGCCCGGACAACCCAGTCCTGCAGGCCAGCAGCCCCCATGGCGTCCCTGGTTCACTTGTACTCTCTGTGGCCGGGCGCCTTACAGGAAGAGAGGTGGTTTCAGGGCTGGGAAGCCGATTTCAAATGTACCAAAGACAATATCATGGTCACATCCAGACACGCTCTCTGGGGCATGTGAACAACCCATAGAGCTTTCCTGAGAAAGCGCAGCGCCGCCTGTCGGCACACTGAGGTGCCGCCTCACAGAATACAGATCAGTCTCCTCAGTTTTCATATTGGGATGTTAGCTGCATAGTTCTCAGAACCAGTCTGGACCTCAGCCTCATGCAAAAATAGGACAAAGTAATGGCCACTTTCCGAGGCTGCTGGTCGTACAGGGGCTGAGGCACGGGGGGCCCTGTAGGGGCCCAGCCCTCAAGGGCTCGTTCCTGCCCGTGGGTGGCTCGCTCAGCCTCCCAGGTGTGGGGCAGAGCTCATCCTGGGCCTTGGGCTCGCAGAGGCTGACCTGCTTTGCAGGCAGGGATCACCTGGCTCCAGCATCTGTGAGGTTCTCTTACCCACTCCGCAGGGATTTTACTTTGGGCAAGGTGGGAGGGCCCAGTCCTGCTGTGTATTCCAAGCTTTGTCTCAGGTTCATGTCAGCCTGCCTGAAAGGGGGCCCCTCCGCCTCTGCTGAAGTTAACACTCGGCAGCACCCAGTCACCTGGATATTGTTTTCCTACTTTGCCCAACACTTTACCTGCTACCAGTATGTAGACTGGGCCCTTGGTTAGGGGTCATGCCATCTCAAGCTTCGCTGATGAAGACGGGAGGCATGTCGCTGATGCATAACCAACCCCCGCCGTGCTCCGCTCTTGGTCTGGGCCCAGGGGCACACTGAACAACACAAGAGAACACAAATCCTTGTCCATCCCTCCTCAACTCACTCTCAGCTGGGAGAACCGTGGGGGCTTCTGAGGCGGCTCCTCGTAGGGTCTGTCTGCGAGGGAGGCGATGATGCGCTTGCGATGGCCGAGCAGGTGAACCTTTAGAACCTGGATGGGGTGGGGAGCAAGGGAAGGATCAGGCAGGGCCCAGGTCAAGTGCCCTCCAGCTGACCTCACCCTCACAGGCCAAGCTGGCAGCCCAGAGATGCTCGTACTTCAGAAGTGGCCAGGCCAGCCTGAACACAGGCTGTACTCACATTGACAAGCTCCAGTTCCCAGAGGTTCTTCACAGTGTCAACAGAGCTGTAGCCACTCGACAGAAAGGAATGGACGTAGTCCTGCAGCCCCAGAGATTCCAGCCAGGAGGGCACTGATGGGGGACTGTTTCCATCACAGCCCAGAGCCTTCACCTGCAGGGCAAGGGGAGGTAGGACTGACATCTCAGCACTCATGGACAGGACACCAGGGACCAGGGGCTCCAGCCAGCACACAGACCACACTGGGGCAGGTTTAAGACAGCTCCTGAGGGCCAAGGAGGGGCCTGTGGGCCTGGGTCCTCAGCACCCTGAGCCCTCCCTCAGACAGTCCTTTCCATCACCACTGTGGTCTCAGTTTCCCCATCTGAGAAGTGGGGGCCACCAGAGCACCCCAAGTCTGGGGAAGACAGCCCTACATATAAGGCTAGATGGGGAGGAGGGTTTGCAGGCTCCCCACTGTGCTTTGACAAGGTCACTGACCTGGTGGGACAAGAATATGGCGTGTGTCTGTGAGGCGGGTATTGGTCTCACTGCTGGGACTTGTTTGTGCTTCCTGAGCTCTGGACACATAGAAGGGACAAGCACAGTCGAGGGGGAGGCTTAGGACTACCAGCACCTGGATCCAGGCAGAATGTGTCTGCCTGTTGCCCTGAGAGCCCCAGGGCCTTCCTGGGGAGGGCCTGACAGCAGGGGTCAAGGCAGGCTGCTGTGATCTTGAGTAAGTCAGGAGAGACCTCTAAGGGGTTCCAGCAGACAGGCCAAGCCTGTGGGCATCAGCTCTCATGGCAGACAGAGGTCTGGAGCCTCCCTCCTGAGCCTAGGCCAGGTCCTCAGTTGTTCCTAGTGCTCTGATGACTCTCTAGGGCCTCTACACGTGACATGTAAAAAGGACTGTTATGCTGCCGTGGGATTCCCATAAGGAGGGTGGGCAGTGCCAGAGATCTGCACGCCCCAGCCCCAGCTCCTTCCCCTTCTGGGTCCAGCTAGTGGGAGGCGATAGCCCTGGCTTTGGCACAGCTGCCAGCAGTCACCTTGGGTAGGGACCTTGCAGCCTGCAGCAGCTTCCGCCGGTGCTGGGAGTCACTGATGCCAATCTCCCGCAGGTCTTGCTCTTCCATCACATTAGACCCCTGGAAGCAAAAAGGAGAACATGAGGGCCCTCCTGAACTGCTGGCCACTGGCTACCTGGGAGCCAGCCTTTTTCAGGCCCTCGCCAAACTCCTGTCCATTGCCACAAGCACCAAGAGGCCTATGCAAGCAGGAGGCTGAGGAAGCAACAGACACATCTGCCCAGACTGCCCGCTCCCACCTAAGTGGCTCCCAGAGCAGCTGGACATGCTGGGGCTCAAGAGCAGGCCAGGCAGAGGGTGCCAACCTGGCCCAAACAGACAGGATGAGGGCAGGCAGTGAATGCTCAGGCCTGGGCACAAGCCGTAGCCCACCTTTGCATGTATGTGCATTTCCCCGGGAAGCAGGTCCCACAACCATCCAAGGACTAACCCGAAGGGTCCACACACATGTGCCTTCCCAATTTGGAGGCTACAGCTGGCGGCAGAGGCAGGCACCCAAGGAACCAACCTCTCCATGGCTCAAGGCTGGGACAGCCACACAAGCTTCTCTGCCCGGGAAAGGAGGCAAGGAGGGTCAGAGCTGAGCCCAGGTGGGATGGCTTTCCCTGACCTCCACTGAACCTGACAGGACAGCTGATGGCATTACAGGGCCCCCACTGCTCGGCACTAAGTGTGGCAACGGTGTGAGGAGGAAGGCTGTTTGTCACTGAATCTTTATTGCATGACAGGCTGAGTGCTTCTACAAGGGGTCCATCTCATTTCATGCTCACACCACCCTGTGTGTTAGGTTGTTTTAATCCTATTTTTACAGAGGAGGAAAATGAGGCACATAGAAGCCAGAAATGTGCCTGAAGTCACACATCTGGTGGTGGAGCTAAGATTTAAGGCAGTCTGACTGTCCTCCCACTCCTAACACCTATGATGCTGTCTTTCATAACTCACAATAGTGTCATGATAGGTTGTTTCAGATGATGATACATGAGATTCACAGTTCTGCCCTGCTTTTAGCCACAGTGCTCTGACAGGCAACGACTGTTAGCACTCTCCTGGGGGGTCACTCCACAGCCCAGCTGGGCACACACACACATGTGTACACTTACTTCATTTGTATGCACATGTAATTCTTGTGCTGCTTTTTGACACCTTATTCTTACTACTTAATATACAAGCACACCTTGGAGATATTGTGGGTCTGGTTCCAGACACCAGAAAAATGTGAATATTGCAATAAAATGAGTCCAGTGAATTTGCTGGTTTCCCAGTGCATGTGAAAGTTATGTTTACCTATGCTGTAGTCTGCTAAGTGTGCAATAGCATTATGTCTAAAAATAATTTAAAATACTTGCTAAAACATGCTAATCATCATCTGAGCTTTCAGCTTGTGTTAATCTTTTTGCTGGTGGAGGGTCCTGCCTTGATGTTGGTGGCTGCTGACTGATCTGGGTGGTGGGTGCTGAAGGGTGGGGTGGCTGTGGCAATTTCTGAAAATAAGACAATGAAGTTGTCTCATTGACTGACTCTTCTTTCATGAATGATTTCTCCACAGCATGTGATGCTGTTTGACAGCATTTTACCCACAGCAGAACTTCCTTCAAAACAAGTCAATCCTCTCAGACCCTGCTGCTGCTTTATCAACTAGGTTCATGTAATATTCTGAGTCCTTTGTTGTCATTTCAACCATCTTCACAGCATCTTCATCAGGGGTAGATTTCATCTCCAGAAACCACTTGCTTTGCTTTATTCACAACAGGCAATTCTCTGTCTGACCAAATTTGATCATGAGATGTCAGCAATTCAGTCACATCATCAGGCCCCAATTCAATTCTAATTCTCTTGCTATTTCCACCACTTATGCAGTCACCTCCTCCACTGAAATCTTGAATCCCTCAGAGTCATCCATGTAGGTTGGAATCAACTTTTCCAAACTCCTGTTAATGTTGATATTTGACGTCTTCACATGAATCACATAAATTTTTAATGACATTTAGAATGGTGAATCCTTCCAGAGGGTTTTCAATTTACTCTGACCAGATCCATAAGAGGAATCACTCTCTATGGAAGCTATAGTTTCATGACATATATTTATTAAATAATAAGACCTGAAAGTTGCAATGATTCCATGACCCAAGGGCTGCAGAACAGATGCTGTATTAGCAGTGAAAACAATGTTCATCTCATGTCTCCAACAGAGCTCTTGGATAACCAAGTGCATTACCCATGCATAGTAATAAAAAGGAATCTTTTTTCTGAGCAGTAAGTCTCAACAGTGGATTTAAATTATTCAGAAGAGCATTTTGTAAACAGATATGCTATCATCTGAGCTTTGTGGTTCCATTTACAGAGCACAGGCAGAGTAGCTTTAGCATCCCTTAAGGGCCCTAGGATTTTCAGAATGGTCAATAGGCACTGGCTTCCATTTACAATCACAAGCTGCATGAGCCCTAAATGAGAGAGTCAGCCTGCCCTTTGAACTTTTGAAGGCAGGCACTGACTTCCCCTTTCCAGCTATGAAAGTCTTACTTGGCATCTTCTTCCAATGGAAGCTGTGTCGTCTACACTGAAAATCTGTTGTTTAGTGCAGCCACCTTCATTAATGACCTTAGCTAGATCTTCTGGAGAACCTTCTGCAGCTTCTCCATCAGCACTTGCTGCTTCACCTGGCACCTTGATGTTATGGAGATGGCTTCTTTCCTCACACCTCATGAACCAACCTGTGATGGCTTCCAACCTTTCTTCTGCAGCTTCCTCACATCTCTCCGCCTTCCTAGAATTGTAGAGTTAGAGCCTTGTTCTAGATTAGGCTTTCATTTAAGGGAAGGTTGTGGTTGGTTTGATCTTCCATCCAGACCACTCACACTTTCTCCATATCAACAACAGGCTGTTTCACTCTCTTATCATTTACATGTTCACTGGAGTAGCATCTTTAATTTCCTCCCAGAACTTTTCCTTTGCATTCACAACTTGGCCAACTGTTTGGTGCAAGAGGCCTAGTTTTTGGACAGTCTAGGCTTTCAACATGCCCTCCTCACTAAGTTTAATCACTTCTAGCTTTTGACTTAGAGTAAGACATGTGCACCTCTTCCTTTTGCTTGAACACTTAAAGGTCATTATAGAGTTATTAATTGGCCTAATTTCAATACTGTCATCTCAGAGAACAGGGAGGCCCCAGGAGGGGGAGAGACAAGGGAACAGTAGGTTCGTGGGACAGTCAGAACACACACAACATTCATCAATTAAGTTCGCTGTCTAATATGGGCATGGTTTTAGGTACCTTAAAAAAATTACAATAGTAACACGAAAGATCACTGATCATAGATTACCATAACAAATATAATAATAGTTTAAAAATCTGAAATATTGTGAGAATTAACAAAATTCAACACCGCAGAAGTAAGCAAATATTGTTGGAAAAAGGGCGCTGATAAGATTGCTCAACTGCAGGGTTGCCACAGACTTTTAACTTGTAAAAAACAAATTGAAAAACTTCGGTATCTGTGAAGTGCAGTAAAATGAGGCAATGCCTGTTACCCAGGAGACAGCTCCGCATCAGTATATGCAGACCTGCCTCTTTTTCTTTTTTTTATAATGTTTTTATTAAGGTATGATTGATATACACTCTTATGCAGGTTTCACATGAAAAAACAGTGTGGTTACTACATTTACCCATATTATCAAGTCCCCACCCACACCCCAATGCAGTCACTGTCCATCAGTCCTGCCTCTTTTTCTAAAGCTGCACCATCACCTAGGGATTGGACACATTATAAATTATTTAACCAGTTCCCTGTGAAGGATGATTGTTTCCAATTTCTGTTTCTACGCAAGTTGCTGCATGAATACCCCTGTAGATGGCATTTCTAGATGGTTATCAAGAAGAGAAATTGCTTGGTTAAAAAACGGTATGTGAATTTAGAAGTCTGGTATTTATACTCCCGTCAATGGTATGACTGTAGATGCCTTACATGGCAGCAACACTGGAGAAACGGCTGATCACGGCATGTTTCTTATCATGGTAACTGCACTCCTAGGGTGCTGGAGCACCTTTTCACATTTTATCTGTCAAGCATTCACATAGCACTCACCCCTAACTCCATGTTCTATGTGCTTTATGCCCGCTGACCCATTTAGTAGCAGGGACTCCCATTTTATAGCTCAGGAAGCAGGGCCTGGAGAGCAGGGTCACATGGTATGTACACATAGGGCTGGGATGCCCCCAGTGCTCTTGTCTGCACGTATGGGGAGCATCTGTAGTTTCTTTCCAGGGGTTACCTGCTTATATCCTTCAGGTGTTTGTCCATAGGCTTGTTGGTCTCTTCTATATTTGACTTGTAGGAATTCTTTAAAGTAAGGAAATTAATCTTTCAGATAAAAGATGCAATGAGACATTCGTTTTTCCAGTCTGTCATTTCATTTCACTTTTATGTTGCCTTTCTGCAGAAATCTGTTTGAATGAACCCGAATGCACTCAACTTTTCTTGTAGAGATTCTCAGTTCTGTCAGTCTTAGACCTCCCCCTCCAATATTTTTAAACAATTCATCTACATTTTCCTGTAATTTTACAGTTTCATTTTTACAATTAAATCTTTACCAGATCTGAAATTTATTATGATATGAGGTTTAAGGGTCAGGATCCACTTTTTTCCCAAGCAACAAGTTGTCCATTTCTTGAATGAGCTATCTTTTCCCACCAATCTGAAATGACCTCTGATGTATCCTAAATTCCTGTGTTCCCAAGACTCTTTCTGGACTTTCTATTCTACTGAGGTGGTTACTGCTTACACCCACTTCATAGATGGAAAAGTAACTGCGGTCAGCTTATGACCATTACCTGTTAGCCTCACCTTTGTACCTGAGCTGTGGTGACTGCTGGTGCAGGAGCCTCCCCAGACCCTGTGCATGGTGACAAAAAGTGCCTCAAAGAGAACACTTTCCAAGCCTTACATTTAAGAGCGCCCAGGTGACAAGAGCTCTGAATTCAGGAAGGAAGCTCTCTGCTCAGGCCACACAGTACATTCCTGTGCTGGGACACCATGGGAGGCGTGGGCCTGCAAGAAGTCCTG